GGGTCCCTGTGTTCCCAGGAGGAGGTGGGGAGGGTCCTGTGTTTCCAGGAGGAGGTGGGGAGGGTCCTGTGTTTCCAGGAGGAGGTGGGAAGGGTCTCTGTAGTTCCAGTAGGATGTGGGGAGGGTCCTGGGAGAGCTGAGGTGAGTGCTGTCTTATCCTGACTTTTACACAGATGAGTAAGTGGCCCAAGGGTATGGACATGGTAGGTGGAATGTCCAGAACTTTACTCCCTTTGTCCTTTGCCAAATTCTGTTCATTTTGGTTAACTGACCTAGACCCCTGACCCCCTAATGTATAAGGTGTGAGGCCTCTTGAGGGTACAGCACCTGGTTCTTAATATGTATTATAATGTTCCCTCTTGTCTATTCGTTTCTGATAAAACGTTCTAGTTCAGCGACGATCTGAAGTTCCCTGAGCTGCTGCAGGGCACCAGAGGCTGTTTTCCATCTGGCTCTTGAATTGTATAATTTGTGCTTCACAGACAGGAGCTTTATTCTCATTTGACAAGTTAGGTTTTAAAAGACCTAGTAACTTTTTTTAAATCTGGTAAGGAATAGAACTTTCTTTGTGACCCTGGTTCAAATATTTGGTGACACGGGACACAGGACATGGTGGCTGAGTGTGTGGTGAGGGGAAAAGCAGCTTCTTAAGGCAGCTTCCTGTGTGGTCATGGCATGCCACCCCGTGGGACTTGCCTCCACCCACAGCGCCAACATCTAATCTCTTTAAGTCACAAAAAATTATGTGTTGTTTTTCTGATGGCTCTAATACTTTAAGAATTTTTCCAAAATCCTGGTGAAACATTTAAAATGTAAAAATATAATGTCAAAGACAAATGATATATGTTATACTTTAGTATAGGTTTTCATTCACGAAACAAGAAAAAAGGAACACTTAACATTTTTCTCCATCATGGGAAACATTTAAATGCTTTGCATTTAAATGTTTTAAATGCTTTGTATTTAAATGAGGAATGCAGCCTTAAGATTGTCATCTTTTTAGAAAGACAGTGGCTTTTACAATTCACATTTTTTAGGTCTGTTCTGATCCTGGTCTGATCTGGGGTCCTCTCTGCTCTGCCTGTGCTGTCACCATGTCCTGGGGGTGGCATGGGACTGCTCTGCAGGGCATGGAGACTGGGCACTTCTTTTTTGGGGACAGCGTGGGCCAGCTCCCCAGTTCACGGTGACCGGGCGTTGCCTCCTGCCTTGCCTCTCCAGGCTCCAATGGTTTTGTTTTCTTAGACTGTTGCTTCATGTAAGTCTTGGTTTTGTCTGCTTTGTTTATAAGGACCTGAACTTAAAGAATCAATAATAGTTCACCTATTAAAATGTAAACTCTCAGGGGTATTATTTAGGAAAGTGAGGTCAAGCCTCCCCTTCAAAAATACTATCTCGAAGATACTTTTTAAGCCAAATTTCTGAAAAAAGGTTCAATTAACAGAAAATCTAGAGTCCTATTTTTGAAAGTCATATTTTAGGCTAAAAGTTCCACAATATCTCAGCAATGCACTTTTCCTCTAAATCATTTCCACAGTATCTCTCTCTCTCTCACACACACATGCACACTTACCGGCTACCAGTGGATTCACACACACCAAGATCACGTGTTCACTGACTCAAGGCCTCTTTTCCCCACTTGACGGTGTTCTGAAGGGCAGTGTGCTCGATTTTTTGGCATCTACCCGACACCTAACACAGGCACGACTGAAAGCACTTGTTGAATACATGAAATGAATAAAATAGGAATGGTCACATTCTCATGTTCAAGCCAATTTTCAAAAGTGGATTTACAAAAAGTGGCAGCATTTTCCAGGCCATGGTGAGCCTGTCCCTGAATAGGGACCTCAGGTTCCCACCAGACACTAGGGCTTCGTGTGCATTTGCAATTCTGGGCAATCTTACGGAATATTTTAGGCAACAGTTGTGCTTGCTACTACCCTCGGTGAAATCCATGCCATTTCCCCATGGTTTTGGTGTAAATGGCTGTGGGGATGGCTGTGGGGATGGTTAACGTTCATACATGAGCAAACCTTGACTCTGGGTAGTTAGATTTGCAGAACGCCCTGCAGAGCCCAGGGACCGACCTGCGGGTTCCCAGGTGCACGCATCATAGAGACTCAGTCACCTGCACATTTACATCACTGAAGACTGTTTTGGCTGCAGGTAAGCGCACCCTCAGTCCTTACTTCAATGACAAAAAGTGTTCAGGGCAGAGGGACCAGCTGGCATTCAGGAAGAACAAGAACCGGCTGTCCTGACCATGGAGGCCCCGGCATCCCTCCTGGACTGTCTGAAGACATAAAGGTCTCGGTTTCTTCCTGGTCATGTGGGAGGATGTAGAGCCCTCTGCATTTCTTGGTTGTCTTCTGAGAAAATGGGCCTGCAGCATCCTCTCGGTCACTGTCTGAGGACACGGAGACCCGGGCGCCTCTGCTGCTTCCTGCAGGTTAGTCAGCTCCAAGCACCGCTCTGTGCATGAACGTCTGAGAGCTTCAATGCTCCTGTTGGAGTCGATTATCCCAGACTTGATGGCTTGGATATAAAAAGTGTACAGACACACCAGGATGGTGAGGTCCAGGATAAACAGCAATTTATCCACCCCCATGTGGAAAACCCTGATCTGATGGTTCCTCTGCGTAACTCCAGTCACCCAGTGCCTCACCTCGCTGGTCTCCAGCCTCCTGGTCCAATCTGCTGGGGCCACCTCTCACCTTTCCGGACCCTCCCTCTCCTGTTGGCAGCACCCTCCTTCTGGCAGAAACAGCTCTTCCCGCCTCACTCCTCAGTCTTCTCTTCACACAGATACCATGAATACCACAGTGGCCTCCTGAAGGCAAAGGCAGTATGACATTTGCCCAGATTCCTGTGGGGCTCCCCATAAAATGCAAATTCTACCAGTGCGCCTTGGCTGGCATCTTCCCTCCTGTCCATTCCCTTCTCCCCCCGACTCCATGGCTGTGTCTCCCCTCTTGTCAGTTCCCTTCTCCTGAGTCATCATCACCTCCTTGCCCCACTGTCCGTGGTTGTGTCTCCTCTCCTGCCCTTTCTTTTCTCCGGGGTCGTCACCCCCCTCCCCCACTGTCCTCACAGCTTCCCAGCTGCACTGGAGAGGGACATTTCCTTCCATTTCCAGTGAAAGGTCTTTGCCATATTAAATCAGTAAAACAAGAAAAACTCCCCTATCTCTTATCAGATTGGAGGACACAGAAAGCATATGTGTTACATGTGTGATGTGGACATTTCCCATGTCATAATTTCAGATGCAGAAACCCCAGCAAAGAGTGAGCACAGGGCAGGGCATCTGCAGCATGGGCTTCACATTCTGGAAGGTTCCAGCTGACTCCCACCCTACCCTTCACTGGCCGAGTAAACTTACAGAAGTTACTTAACCCTTGACCTAGAAGAGCTTCGTCTCACCTGAAAAGGGAAAGTTGTGATTCTAAGGAAAGGAATCTCATAGGTCTTCTCAGAAAAGACAAGTCATTGGGTTGGGCTTAGAGGTTCCATCCGTGGCAAGGTATGAAAATCAAAATGAAATGCCACCGGGCAATAGCATGACATTCTGTCCCCATTCTCCTCTTTGCTCTATAGCCTTTTCCTTCAGAAACAGAACATTTCAGTGTTTTGTATCCACAGAATTTCTGGCTTTGCCTTCTGGAGCCTGGGGAGCACGAATAGAATGAGGAACACGACCTTCTTCGGAGGCAGTTACTCATGAGGCCATAGTGCGGAAAGGGCAAGAAATGTCAGTTATAAAATGTGCATGTGCATTTTAAATGAAGGGTTATTAAAATCCTTCTTTTTCCATAAGGGATCTAAAAAATTAAACAATTTGTACTCACTTGTCAGGTAGCCTGAGTCAATGCCAGGAGAGGCCCCTGCTCTGTCTGGAGTCTCAGTTGCTCGCTGTGGTGAGGGTCTAGTTGCTTGAGGGGTTTGTGTAATGAACTCGTCCTAATACAAGCAAAACACACATCCCTCAGAGTTGTTCAAAAATCAGAAAATAGGAAAAAAATAAATAAATGAGAACACAATATTGACAGGAGAGGAAAACAAAGAATTACTGGGAGATTTGAAGGAGGTGAAATGGGCAAAGGGTAAATTTAGCAATTACATTTAAAGTCAGTGGAGAATTAAATGGAATCATCCATTCTTATGTCCATGTATTTAGGTTTTAAAGTTTTGATTAGTATTCACTCAACACTAATTTCTAACAAAATAGAATATTTTCTTAGTGCTTTCACCACTGAGCTGGTAATATATATCCACTAGTAATTGAAGTAGATCATAACCCCTCCAAAGGAGTCCATAGAATAAACTAATTTTTGAATGGTCACATTTTCTTCAATGAACTCTTATTTTCAAGTTTAAAAAGCTTTACAAATACAGAAAAGCAGAGTGAATAATAGAGCCCATTGCCAGGACTCAGATTTAGAAAAATAAGTTTAATCTGTTGTTATAGCATATTTGTGTTATACATTTGACTTATATTTATAAAATGAAATCTAGTATATATACAACGTTGATTGAAAGGGTTATGAGTAAAGTTTAACCTGATGTTTATTTCTCCAAATCTCTTTGTTCTATATTAACAGGTCAGGACAACTACGGATGGGAAGGCTGAGAGAGGGGTCTCCTTCCCCATGAGGTCCCCACGGTATTTGTCTCCATTCGGAAACTGAGGGATGTCCTTCTCCATCCAGGACTTGGAGCTTCTCCATCCAGGACTTGGGGGAATGGCATTCTCCACCCAGAACTTGGAGGGACAGAATTCTCCATCCACAACTTGGGGGGTGTCTTTCTCAGGATCCAGGGTTCATTATTCTCTATCCAGGACTGGGGGTGTCCCTCTCTATCCAGGACTGGGGGTGTCCCTCTCTATCCAGGACTGGGGTTGTCCTTCTCTATCCAGGACTGGGGGTGTCCTTCTCTATCCAGGACTGGGGGTGTCCTTCTCTATCCAGGACTGGGGGTGTCCTTCTCTATCCAGGACTGGGGGTGTCCTTCTCCATCCACGACCTGAGGGACATCCTTCCTTGGGACAGCACCCTTTCCTATGCCATCCTCCAGAATGCCAGGCTGTCACGTTGTGGACTGAACTCCAGCATTTTATCCTTATTCTAAGTGAATCCCTTCACATTTATAACATTTATAGTGATTTACCATTTAATCACTGTGCCATTTCCCCCAAAATATGGTATATGGGTTTTTTCTTTTTTCCTTTTTTTTTGAGAGGGAGTCTCCCTCTGTCACCCAGGCTGGAGTGCAGTGGCACAATCTTGGCTCACTCAACCTCTGCCTCCCAGATTCAAGCAATTCTTCTGCCTCAGCCTCCCAAGTAGCTGTGACTACAGGCCCCTGCTGCCACGCCTGGCTAATTTTTGTATTTTTAGTAGAGACGGGGTTTCACCATGTTGGCCAGGCTGAGTCTCAAACTCCTGACCTCAGGTGATCCGCCCGCCTCGGCCTCCCAAAGTACTGGAATTATAGACGTGAGCCACCGTGCCCAGCCAGGCTTGATTTTTGTTTTGACTTCTGTTAATTGTTTGGTTCCCATCTCCATTTTTTCTTTTCTTTTCTTTTTTTTTTTTGTAGTATCGTTTTCAACTTAATACAGATCCTATTTGGTAAGTATTACATGTACTAGAAAATAATGTGTATTCAGTATTTGTTGTGGCTTTTAAACCTTTAATAAACCCCCAACATTTCTGTCTATTTTCCGTTTAAATTGAGAAGTATGGATCCCAGCGCTCCTGTCATTAGTCTCCCTGTAAGTCCTGGAGGTAAGGCCAGCACTGGACGTCAGTGCATCACCTGCTTGGTCCTATTGCTCATGTGCAGTGTCCATCCTGCTGTTTATTATTTCTTCCTTAAATTTTATTTGAGCTAAGATTAATTTTGCCATAGAAACTTTCTGTGAATACTTAGTGGTTTCACTTCCTTTTTTTTTTTTTTTTTTGCCCTTAATTTGAAAGTGCTCCTTTGCTACTGATAATTTTGTATTTTAATATGTGAGGTTAATCCCTCTGTGTTTGGTAGGAAAAAAGTGATATATTTGAACTTACTTCTATCATGTGATTTTGGATTTGCAAAACTTTATCCTTGATTCTCTCTTCCTTTCTCCAGACGTATTTCTGACATTTCCTTTTCCACTTCCTTCCTATGCTGGTTTTTAGGGTTTCCAGCCTATTTACTTTTCCTTAGTGTCCTACATTTTTAAATATTTCTAAATTATCAACTCATAATTGCAGTTGTGGTTTTCTCCCAGTGTTCTAGTTTTCATCTCTTCTATCTTGTCATTTTATTTTTTTTCTATTAATTCCTGATATATAAGTATTAGAATTGTCAAATTGTGAATTTAAGCATTTATCCTTTAACTGTGATCATTTTTGCTTCATGTATTTTGTTATTTTGTATCAGGTGCATGCATGCTTATGATCATTAGGTTTTCTAAGCAAATGGACTCATTCCTAGAAAACATCCTTCTCTGTCCCTGGTGATGCTGGTCCTCTCGCCGTCTGTCTCATCTGCAATAGGAACACCTGTGCTACTTCTTGATACCAAGCATTTTTGTGGTGTACATTTGTTCTTATTTTAACTTTGAATCTATTTGCATCTTTGTTTCAAAAGAGTGTTTCTTTATAAATGCACATATGGAGGCTTACTTTTGACCTACTCGGACAGTCTCTCTTTCAGTGGCAGTGTTTAGTCCATGCACGTCGGAGTTAGCGATGTGGTTGGGTTTAAGTCGGCACCTGAAACTCTTATTTCCTCTCTTCCGCCTTCCTGATCTGGATTGTTGTAGTTTTGCTTCATTTGTTGTTTTGTAAGGGTTTTTTTGTTGTTTATTTTAGTATGGATTATGTACCCTATGTGTGTGTTTTAAACTATGGCTCCTTGTTTTATTTATTTATTTATTTTTAGGGAGTCATCTAGAAATTAAAATATAAATACTTAAAAGTATTAGATTAAAGAAATATAATACTTTATGTAACTACAAAATCCTTACCTCACCCTCCTCTCAGCTTTTGTGCCGTGTTGTCAGTGATTTTTCTTCTGCATATGTTGTAATTCCCAGGTGATGTCATTAAAACAGTACTTTCCTGTCCACCATTTACTATTTTTGGCACTCTTTAATCTTTGGTGTGAGCTAGAATTTCCAATTGTTATCATTTTTCTTTGTCCTGAACAACTTTATTTTGCATTTATTGTGATTTGGGTGTGATGGCCACACATTTTCTCAGCCTTTGTTTAAGTGAAAATGTACTTTTCTCAACTTCAGTTTTGAAGGCTACTTCAGCAGGTTCGGAATTCCAGGGAAACTTTCTACTTTCAACAGTGTGAGGTCTCTGCTCTGCAGTGCTCTGGGCACCATGAGTTCTGATGAGGTGGCTGTAGCAGGAGAAAACTAGACCCCGAGGGGCTGCCGTGTGGGCGGGGACACACACTGTTCACCTAGGGTCCGCTGCTTCCAGAGCTGTGCCTCAGCAAGCTGAGTGCTGGGTGGCCAGGTTGCATGTCAGCTGTAGGCACAGCCACCTTGTGGGTGGACAGCCACGTCCAGCCCCAGGAGGAGGGCAGCCAGCACAGGCAACACAAGCTCCCCTCATCTGGAACCAGCAGAACCTCAGGCACTTGAGCCTCAGCCCCTCACAAACAATGTCCTCAATGGGTGGCGTTCCATCATCTTGCAGGCACAGCTGGGACCCCAGGCACAGTGACATCCCAGGCACAGTGGGACCACAGGCACAGTA